CCCTTGGCCATCAGATGATAGCGATCATCTCGAGTGCGAAAGTAGTACCCGTACACCCCTCGATTTAGGTCATGTGCATGCGTTCGAATTCCGAAAACGTAAACTGGAACCTCTGTATGCAGTCTACAGGGGAAGGTTAGAGTTTAAACTGATAAATGTGTTAGAAAGTTAGGAAACAAATAGACCTACCTACCAACAAGCAATTAATTAGCTTACGAAGATAATTTTCAGTTTCTAGTCTGTTTTATAAATTCCAAACACATCAGCTACGTTTATTATTGAACTAGCAGTCTATTTTTGGTTGAAAGTCCAATGGTTAAGATGAAGATCAAGGCAAATGGTCAAATTAACCTGCAAGATATGTTTGTTGGAAAATGTTGAGCGTGTGGAGGAATGGTGGCTTCAGCATTGTATAAAAGAATAATTCCAGCACGATTCGGCTGAGGTTGAGGAGTATAGGTGAGCTCGACAGTAGCATAATCAGGGTTTTCCTCGCGCTGACTATAATGAACTTCCATTGAAAGCGATTTGATTGGAGTGGTGCGGCCAATTTCAAAAGCAGTGCCTTCTGGAAGGATAAGGGGCGCACCGTTGTGTGCCCAGGCATACAAAATGTGGGTTCGACATTGACCATCACAAGGGCCAGGTCGGCTAGCTTCTACACCTTCCATCCATTTATCACAAGCACTTATTATGATATGATGAACTGAAGAGTTGACGATGGGAATAAAAGCAGTAACGTAACCAGGATTGTATTTAAACCTTGGAAGTGGGATTTGTGTACAAATATATTCGTCAGCCCTCTTAGGGCGTGCTCCAGGCATTGTAGCGAAAAATCTCCAAGCATTTGCAATGGATACATATAGAATGAGCGTGAAAGCACATTTCCAAAACCCCAACATCACGGCTAACCAAACAGTCAGCAACCTTCGGCAAACAAACAGCGCAGATGCCCTCGGTATTTAATCTAGCCATTAATTAAAACGCGCTCAAGGCCTCTCAAGATTTTCGTATTAATTTTAATTTGCTTGAAGTATTCAGCAAGCCTTAATTTTACTCATACAGCCTCAGATCGCCAAACCATTGTGTCACAACTTGCTACATTAAATGCATTTAAGAATGTTAATTGGTTAATGTTTATTTTGATAGGACAGAGGTGGAACCACAGTTCGAACAATAATCCATTTCGTGAGGATCGTGAAGAGACGTTATCAGGGTGAAACTAGCATTTCATCTCACCAACTCTTCCTATTTCCACTTCCCTTCTCTCTCTGTATAGTGACATAAAGCTTCCTCAGCTACCTTCCAATGTTTGAGGTTCTGGGGCATGAAGGTAGGCATGCAGATCCTACAGAACAGATGATGTTTAACTTAAAGGTAGTAAAGGCAACCACCTAACAGATATTTTCTTTGTAATACCTCATGTGACTATATAAGTTATGTTGATCACTTTAGAACTTGTCTAGCCCTTGTACTCGTTGACGAGCCTTCGGGCT